TTATGCCACAGCGCTGGCCCCCGCTAAGAAATTTTTCCACGTTTTTTTCCTGTGCTTGTCTCCTATAACAAGTCATTTTCACTTTTATATGTTTGAACCCTCCTTATTTTTCTTTTGTGTTTGAAAATTATTTTTTTCTGGATGTAGAATTCTAGTCTGACAGCTTTTTTTTTCTTTCAGTACTTTAAAGATGTTGATCTACTGTATATTGTTTCCAGTGAGAAATCTGAAGTGGTCCTTAGCTTGCTTTCTCTATACATACCTTTTACTCTTGCTACTTTTAAGGTTATTCTTTTATCCCTGATTTTGAACAAACAGTTTGACTATGATGTTCTGTAGTATCGTTTTTTTCATGTTGACTGTGCTTAGGGTTTATTGAGCTTCTTCAATCTGAGTTACAGTTTTCATCAATTACTTGAAATTTTTGGCCATTACTTTAGAACTTCAGCTGTGTTTTCTGTCTGCCCTCTCTTTCTGCCTTCTGCCCTTGGGATCTTCAGTTACATGCATAGTAGTTGCTTGAAGTTGTTTACTAGCTTATGCATGCTGTGTTTATTTATATTTTTTAAGATTTATTTGATGACCGGCGCCGCGGCTCACTAGGCTAATCCTCCGCCTTGTGGCGCCGGCACACCAGGTTCTAGTCCCGGTCGGGGCGCCGGATTCTGTCCCGGTTGCCCCTCTTCCAGGCCAGCTCTCTGCTGTGGCCCGGGAGTGCAGTGGAGGATGGCCCAAGTGCTTGGGCCCTGCACCCCATGGGAGACCAGGAGAAGCACCTGGCTCCTGCCATCGGATCAGCGCGGTGCGCCGGCCGCAGCGCGGCAGCCATTGAAGGGTGAACCAACGGCAAAAGGAAGACCTTTCTCTCTGTCTCTCTCTCTCACTGTCCACTCTGCCTGTCAAAAAAAAAATATATATATATATATATATATTTATTTGAAAGAGTTACAGAGAGATGGAGAGGCAGAGAGAGAGAGAGAGAGAGAGAGAGATCTTCCATCTACTGTTTGACTCCTCAAATAGCCTCAATGGCTAGGTCTGGGTCAGGCCAAAGCCAGGAGCCAGGAGCTTCATCTGGATATCCCATGTGAGTGCTAGGTCTCAGGGACTTGGGCCATCTTCTGTTGCTTTCCCAGGTACATTAGCAGAAAGCTAGACTGGAAGTGGAGCAGCCTGGAACTTGAACCAGTGGCCATATGGGATGCTGGCACCTCAGGTGCCAGCTTAAGTTGCTGTGCTACAGTGCCAGCCCTGCAGTTCATTTTTAAAAATTCTTTTTTCTTCATTTCACTTTGGGTAGTTCCTATTACAATGCCTTCAAGTTGGCTGATCTTTGCTTTAGCAGTATCTACCTTGCCATTAATTCTAACAGTGCAGTTTTTCATTTAAGACTGTGGTTTTTATCTAGAAGTTTGATTTAGGTCTTTTAAAAATGTCTTATATAGGGGCTGGCGCCATGGCTCACTTGGTTAATCCTCCGCCTGCGGTGCTGGCATCCCATATGGGCGCCGGGTTCTAGTCCCGGTTGCTCCTCTTCCAGTCCAGCTCTCTGCTGTGGCCTGGGAGGGCAATGGAGGATGGCCCAAATGCTTGGGCCCCTGCACCCGCGTGGGAGACCAGGAGGAAGCACCTGGCTCCTGGCTTCGGATTGGGGTAGCTCTGGCCGTAGCAGTCATTTGTGGGGTGAACCAACGGAAGGAAGACCTTTCTCTCTGTCTCTCTCTCACTGTCTAACTCTGTCTGTCAAATAAATTAAAAAAAAAAAAAAAGAAATCCAAAAGGGAAAAAAATGTCCTATATATATCTATATTAACTCCTTGAACATGCAGAATGTAGCTATGGCTATTTTAATGCCCTTCCCTCCTAATTAACAGAGTTCTGGATAGGTGCTGATTGATTATTCTTCCCTATCCAGGGCTTGTTTTTCTGCCCCTTTGTATTTCTGGTCATTGTTGATTGGATACCAGACATCATGATTTTTACCTTGTTGTGTGCTGGATACTTTGGTATTTCTGTAAATCTTTCTAGTTTTATTTTCGGATATGGTAAGATTTGAAATAGCTTGAGCTCTCTGGGACTTGCTTTTGTAGTTTATGAGGTGGATCTGCGAGTGCCTGGTCCTCGCTGTGGAGGCAGTATGTTCCTGAGTATTCTGCCCCGTGCTCTTGAATTACGAGTTACTCCGTTCTGGCCATGAGTGACTGGCAGTGTTCCTTCTAGTTCTTTAAGGTGCTTCTTTCCCTGGCTGTGAGTAGTTTTTTCACAGCCTTGTGTTGCATATCCCTAAATACTCAAGGGGCTCCTCCTTGTGCCTCTATACTCTCTGGTTATGTGACCTACGAACTCAAGCAGTCTAGGTTCCCAAAACTCTCAGCTCATGATTTCAGTCTTGAAGTCTACCTGGCTTCACTTTGGTTCCTCTCTCCTGTTCTGGCCTGAAAACTTGAGGCACTAAACTGGAGCCCTTGTTGGGCTCACTTAGTTTGTTTTCTGTCTCTGTACCTACCATTGCTCTTTGTTGCTTGATGTTCAGTGGAACTGTTGTTCCATGTATTTTGTTGTTCAGATGGGAGGGTAGATCTGATCTCTGTCTTGGGCAGTAGTGGAAGTCTCCCTGCAGGATTTGACCTGTGGAATGTGACAGGCTGCAACATTCACCTGTAAGAGAAAATTCATAGTAGCTAAGCACATTTTTTAAAGGAAGGACAACAGAAGGCATTGTCTTTTCACATATCAACACATTGTGAAGCCATAGTAAGTCAAGTGGTTTGCTCTTTGTGCAGGAGTAGACAGATAGGTAAGTGGAAAAAGATGCAGTGTATGTATATACAGACATATTTATTATACACATGAATTTACAACAAGTGGCATTTTAAATTGAGGAAAGGCTATTATTAAGATAATTTATTATCCATTTGGAAAATACAAGTAGATTCTTAAACCCTGTGGGTTCATTATAATATGTTTTAACATCTTGTGGCAGAAAGTGAACTAATAATGACTTAAGAAAGATAGATGTTTGTTGCTGTGGCCAGGGAGTGCAGTGGAGAATGGCCCAAGTGCTTGGGCCCCGCACCCCATGTGAGACCAGGATAAGTAGTACCTGGCTCCTGCCATCGGATCAGCGCGGTGCGCCGGCCGTGGCGGCCATTGGAGGGTGAACCAACGGCAAAAGGAAGACCTTTCTCTCTGTCTCTCTCTCTCACTGTCCACTCTGCCTGTCAAAAATAATAAAAATAAAAAAAAGAAAGATAGATGTTTGTTTCTAATGGAAAAGTGTAGTTACACAGGATTCCAGGCTGTTGGTATTTCTGTCTATCTAGTGTAAGCTGCTTCAGTGCTGTGTTCTGGCCAGTGGGAAGGAGGCAGATTCATGAAGGGAGAACATACCTTTTCTTTTCCTTCTTTTCTTTTTCTTTTTCTTTTTTTTTTTTTTAAGATTTGTTTTATTTATTTGAAAGGCAGGGTGACAGAAAGAGCTATTATTTGCTAGTTTACTCCCCAAATGGCTACAACTGTTGGGGATGGGCCAGGCCAGAGCCAGGAGCCAGGAACTCCGTGTGGGTCTCCCATGTGGGTGGCTGGGGCCCAAGCAATTGGGCTATCTGCTGCTGCTTTCCCAGGCACATTTGCAGGAAGCTGGGTTGGAAGCAGAGCAGCCAGTACTGGAATTGGTGCTCATATGGGATGCTGGCATTGCAGACCACAGCTTAATTCACTGTGCACGACACTGGCTCTATACTCTTTCCTTTTAAGGTAACAACACAGACTGCTATTTTTCTCTTCTGGTCATAAGCTCCAGAGAGTCTGGAAAATAGTCTTTGTTAAAGACAGTTCTCAGTTGGTTATTGCCTTGCCAAATGTGCTATAGAAGAAGCAGAGAATGGGCATTTAGGGGCAACTAGTAAATCTCTTTACCATATGTAACACATATCTAATGGATTGAAGTAGATTTAAAAATGAAAAGCCAAGGACAGACATGTGCCAGCATCCCAGTGCCAGTTTGAGTCTTGGCTGCGCTGCTTCTGATCGAATACTTGGGCCCCTGTCACCCATGTAGAGACCCGGATGAAGTTCCTGGTTCTTGACTTTGGCCAGGCCCAGCCCTGGAGTCATTTGGGGAGTGGACAAGCAGGTGGAAGATTTCTGTTTCTCCTCTCTAAGTCTGCCTTTCAAATAAATAACTTTAAAAGAAGAGAAAATCTGTAATTGTTAGCTGTGTATGTAGGAGAACTATAAAGACCTTTAAGTCAGTGAAAGATAAATATTCTAGGCCGGCGCCGTGGCTCGCTAGGCTACTATGTAGCTATTAAGAAGAATTAAGTGGTTTGGTATAGACAGACATATTGTGAAGTAAAAAAAAAAAAACAAAAAAACTGCAAAATAGCTTATATACAAAGAATTCATTCATGTAAGAAATAAAACCCAAAGTGTGTCTCTATATGTTAAGGTATGTAATTTTGTTTAAAAAAAAAAAAGGCTTAGTGGATACCATTCTTTTTTTTTTTTTTTAATTTATTTATTTGAGAGGCAGAGAGAAACAGAGTGGGGTGGGGGTCTTCCATCTGCTGATTCACTCCCCAAATGTCCTCAATGGCCAGAGCTGGGCCCATCTGAAGCCAGGAGCCAGGAGCTTCTTATGGGTCTCCTACATGGGTGCAAGCACCCAAGGACTTGGGCCATCTTCTGCTGCTCTCTCAGGCCATAACAAAGCTGGATTGGAAGTGGAACAGTGGAGACTAGAACTAGCACCCATATGGGATGCTGACGTTGCAGACTGGGGCTTTACCCACCACACCACAGTACCAGCCCCAGTAGATACCATTCTGTTTACAGTGGTTCTGTATGGAGAAGAATGTGGGGAGATGGGGGTTTATCTTACATAAGTCTGTATAGTTTGGATTTTGTTTATAATGAGACTAAATGTATGTATTATATAATGACAGATTATCACTGTAGTACAGGTAATCTAATCTTTTGTATTTCATGTCTTTTGTTAGGATTGGCCCAAAGGAAGATTTTTTCCACTGTTTGAAATGTAATTTATGCCTAGCCATGAATCTTCAAGGAAAACATAAGGTATTTAATTCTGTTTGCATAATTTTTAAGGTTTTTTTTTTTTTTTAAAGATTTTATTTATTTTGTTTATCTGAGAGGTAGAGTTACACACACACAGAGAGGGAGAGACATAGAAAAAGGTCTTCCATCCTCTGGTTCTCTCCCCAAATGACTGAAACAGCTGGAGCTGGACTGATATGAAGCCAGGAGCCAGGAGCTTCTTCTGGATCTACTACGTGGGTCCAGGGGCCCACATACTTGAGCCATCTTCCACTGCTTTCCCAGGCCACAGCAAAGAGCTGGATTGGAATAGGAGCAGCTGGGATTCGAACCAGCCACCATTTGGTTGGCCAGCGCCACAGGCGGAGGCTTAACCCAGTACGCTGTCCAAGGTTTTCATAGTGCTTTGGAAAAGCAGCTTAAATTCTAGTATGATTTGGAATATTTCTACTTGCAGCTATGATTATTGCTTTCTAAAAAGGCAGTATTAAGAAGTAGATGCTCTAAAATACATACCTCAGAAAGTCTGACTTATGGTTCCTTTCTTCTCTGAAGGGTAAGAATGCTTATGTTATTAGCAGAATGTTGATGACTTTTTTTTTTTTTTTTTTGACAGGCAGAGTGGACAGTGAGAGAGAGAGACAGAGAGAAAGGTCTTCCTTTTGCCGTTGGTTCACCCTCCAATGGCCGCCGCGGCTGGTGCATTGCGCTGATCCGAAGCCAGGAGCCAGGTGCTTCTCCTGGTCTCCCATGGGGTGCAGGGCCCAAGTACTTGGGCCATCCTCCACTGCACTCCCTGGCCACAGCAGAGAGCTGTCCTGGAAGAGGGGCAACCAGGACAGAATCCGGCGCCCCGACCGGGACTAGAACCCGGTGTGCCGGCACCGCAAGGCGGAGGATTAGCCTATTGAGCCACGGCACCGGCTGGACTTTTTTTGTTAAATATTTAATTTATTTGAAAGTCAGTTACAGAAAGAGAGGGAGAGAGATCTTCCATCTGTTGGTTCACTCGTCAAATGACGGCAACAATAGGAACTGAGCCAGGTTTCCCACATGGGTAGCAGGGGCTTAAGAACTCAGGCCACCTTCTGCTGCTTTCCCAGGTACATTAGTAGGGAGCTGGATTGGAAGCTGAGCACCTGGTTTACAAGCTGGTGCCCACATGGGATGCCAGCATTGCAGGCAGCAGTTTTACCTGCTGTGCCAGCCCTGTTGACGACTTGTGTGTTGGTTTATAGATTCATAACATTGGTATGCTACCTTAAAACAGAAAAAAACCCCGAGCAATCTAATAAAGTACTAGATGTGTAGTACTGAGTTGCAACCATATGAATTTAGAGAGTGGGAGATCAGTATAGTTAGAGTGAGGTGGAAATGATATCCTACAAGTGTTGGAAAGTCTGGATGAGGGGGGAACGGTAAGTAACAACATTGTGTGGTGTTCACAGAGAGAGAGATTAATTGGAAAGAAGAGTATATGCAGTTGCTTACTTAGCACTGTTATCAGGTTCAACAGAAGAGAAGGATGGCCGGCGCCGTGGCTCACTAGGCTAATCCTCCGCCTTGTGGCGCCGGCACACCAGGTTCTAGTCCCGGTCGGGGCGCCGGATTCTGTCCCGGTTGCCCCTCTTCCAGGCCAGCTCTCTGCTGTGCCCCAGGAAGGCAGTGGAGAATGGCCCAAGTGCTTGGGCCCTGCACCCGAGTGGGAGACCAGGATAAGCACCTGGCTCCTGCCATCGGATCAGTGCGGTGCGCCGGCTGCAGCGTGCCGGCCGTGGCAGCCATTGGAGGGTGAACCAACAGCAAAAGGAAGACCTTTCTCTCTGTCTGTCTGCCTGTCAAAAAAAAAAAAAAAAAAAAGAAGGATAAGGGGCTATTGCAGAAATCCTGCCCTCGGGGCTGGAGCCATGGCTCACTTAGTTAATCCTCTACCTGTGGCTCCAGCATCCCATATGGGTGCTAGGTTCTAGTCCCGGCTGCTCCTCTTCCAGTCCAGCTCTCTGCTGTGGCCCGGGAGGGCAGTGGAGGATGGCCCAAGTGCTTGGGCCCTGCACCCGAGTGGGAGACCAGGAGGAAGCACCTGGCTCCTGGCTTCAGATCAGCGCAGCGCTGGCTGTGGCGGCCATTTGTGGGGTAAACCAACGGAAGGAAGACCTTTCTCTCTCTCTCTCACTACCTATAACTCTTCAAATAAAAAAACTTAAAAAAAAATTAAAAAAAAAATCAAGACACACAAATCTAATTAAAAAAATAAAAAATAAATCCTGCCCTAAATAGTAGAGTGGTGAAAATTGAAGTGGACGATGAATGTATAGAATGTGATAATGATGTATTAACAGAGAGGAATGGTACTATAAGATTTCAGCTTCAGGTACAATAGATTTTGAATTTATTGGAAATAAAAGGTTGCACTTGGTTTTATAAGCTAGAATCTGGGGTGGCAACAAGATATACTACCCTAGATAGCCAGTAGTCAATAACTTCTTAGCAGTTATATTCAGTGGTGTTCTTGTAGTTTCTAGAATGTGTAGTGTGTGTGCACAGGCACCTACACAACCAAGTCATTGGATGCTCACTCAAAAGATGCCTTTGATGATCAGATATAACATGATTGTGGGAAGTTTTTTTTTACAAATTTTATTTGATGCAGCAAAGTGATAATCTTTTAAAAAAGATTTATTTATTCATTTGAAAGGCAGAATTAGGGGGAGAGATCTATCTGTCTACCTACCTACCTACCTACCTACCTATATATCTTCCTTCGGCTGGTTTACTCCCCAAATGGCTGCAGTGGCTGGAGCTGAGCTGATCCGACAACAGGAGCCAGGAGCTTCTTCCAGGTCTCCCACGTGGGTGCTGGGGCCCAAGTACTTGGGTTATCTTTTGCTGCTTTCCCAGACACATTAGCAGGGAGCTGGATCAGAAGTGAATAGCCTGGACTCACACAGGTTCCCACATGGGATGTGGCATTGCAGGTAGCAGCTTAACCCAGTTGCCACAATGCCAGCTCCTTTAAAAAAAATTTATTTATTTGAAAGGCATGCACTGGGGTGGGTGGATGGAAGAGGTCTTCCGTCTGTTGATTGTACTCCCCAAAATGGCCACAAAGCCAAGGCTGAGCCAAGCTGAAGCCAGGAGCCAGGAGCTTTCTCTGGGTCTCCCACATAGGTAGCAAGGGGCCAAGCACTGCTGCTTTCCCAAGCCATTAGCAGGAAGCTGGATCGAAAGTGGAGCAGCTGGGACATGAACTGGCTTTATTGGTGTGCTGGCATGGCAGACGTTGGCTTAACCATGTATGCCGCAGCACCGTCCCTGTGGAGATGTTGAAGGTGTGTGTGTGTGTGTGTGTTTATGTGAAGTGTACTTTAAAATCAAATGAAGTATACATTGGATTTACTTTTTAAATAAAACCTAAGAAGTGGTAGTTTGTCTAAAATTTTAAAGGTTTGTGAACAACAGAACTGGGTTTATAATCCAGGTCATTAAATTTACTGTTTGTAAGGGTTTTCTCCCAATTATATTCTACCTCTTAACTAATGTGTAGCTTTGGAAGTTATTTTGCTTCTTTAGGCCTCAAATACCTCATCTGTAAAATGGAGTAATAATTTTGCTGATTCCATCTAGGTTATAACTGGACTTAACACATGGCAAGCTATTATTAAGTAGTTCTGCCTACTAATTTAGGATAATGGCTTTGGAATAAAACACTATATAGGAAAGAAAGGCTCCAGACCTTATTATGTTTGGATCTTTGGGAAGTGTATTGAACCCCTGAGTTAGTTTCCTTATGAGAAAATGGAGGTAACCTGAATACTTAATATTTAATAGTCATTTTCATTCTTTCAGGTGATGTGCCAAGCCTGAAATTGTAAAGAAAATAAAAAACTGTTAAAAAAAATAAGAACTCCAAACATGTATTAATGTTAGTTAATAAGTTGATATTATTGTTTTTGTTAATACTACTGTGATGTGCCATATGAAAATGTAGCTTTTTCATCTGGGTGAGCTTTTTGGTAATGTGAGTTCTTTTTTAAACAGTGTATTGAAAATGTTTCCCGGCAGAATTGCCCAATATGCTTGGAGGTAAGAGGAAACATCTTTGACTTTGGATGCCTCCTGCCTTGAATTTAAAGTCTGGGTGTCTGTGTTGTCTTCATACCAGCACTAGCATTGTTTTCCTCAACAGGACATTCACACGTCCCGTGTTGTGGCTCACGTCTTGCCATGTGGACATCTCTTACATAGGTAAAATAACTTTTTTCCTCTCAAAAATATTTGAGAATAGTGGATATAGTTTTTGTCTTACTAAAATAATGTTATATTTTCTTTCAGAACGTGTTATGAAGAAATGTTGAAAGAGTGAGTATTTGATGGAATTTTAAAAAATTGTAATATAGTGTGTCTTGTTTTTGGTAGGGGTGAGGAGGTGAGCAAACATTGCTGCTACTTATGCTGTGTTGGATTTGTGTTCAGATTGGCAGGGTAGATAAGTAGTGTTAAACTTGACAAAGCATCTTGTCTAGAGGGTATGGAGTATACCTTTGTTCTTGTGTTTCTATTATACCTTATATTCTCCTGCAGTTTGAGATAGGTACCTGTTTTCTGGCAGTCTTTACCAAGGAGCACAGTCTATGCCAGTCATGATACTGGAAAAATGCTAGGGAATGTTGCTCAGAATTTTGTTAGGTCATTATATTGGTCTGTTAGAATGAACTGCAGAAAAGGTTACTAAAGAGGTTATTTAAAACTGAGGCTAATAATTAGGAAGGAGGCGACTGTGTCAGTTAATTTAGGTCCTGCAAATTGATGAGCAGAAATTTCAATGTAAGAGCCAGATAGAGGAGAGCTTTTTAAAACATTTTTAGAAAGGATATGATATCTGAATAATTTTTAAGGAATATGGTCTTCTTTAGAAGAATGTATTAAGAAATTGAGGTTGTTTAGCTAAGGAGTAGCTAAATTGGTTCTCTTAGGTGTTTTTGAGGTATGATCTATAAAGAATATGGACTAATTTCTCTCCATTTTAGAGAGCTGAGTACAAAGACTAGGTTTAAAAAATACCACAAGAAAATTTAATTTAAAGCTTTCATAATATGAAGGTTCCTAAGAGATTATCTTGCAGTGTAGAATAATGCCTTGTTTTGGGTGGCTTATTTGCATCATCTTATGTACTTGAGGTGAGGTACTCTCCATCTGATGTTTGGAAAATAACCTTCTCTCTCTTCTAGAGGCTACCGATGCCCATTGTGTATGCACTCTGCTTTAGATATGACCAGGTACTGGAGGCAGCTGGATGATGAGGTGGCACAGACTCCAATGCCCTCCGAGTATCAGAACATGACTGTGGATGTGAGTGGAGTAAATGCCTAAAACTTGGCAGATTCCTTGTTGACATTGTTTACTTTTGCCCCTTTGCTCAAATTTGTCTAAAAAATAGTAGATGTCAGTGTGATGATTAATGGGAACAACACAGTGATCTTTAAATTTTAATTGCAGTCAAACCAGAAAGAAACTCAGTGCAGTTTTTTTCCAACACTAGATGGCAGACAGAATCTTCATTCTGAATTATTTACACATTATTTGTCAGTTAGTCACTGGCTAGAGGTAGATCACTGGTCTGATGCTTTACTTCTATTATCTTAAATTCTGTTTCAGGAGAACATGTTTGCTGATTGAAGTTTACTTTTAGGTTTTTAATGTTTACTATCATTTTTATTCTATCTTAGACTTTATTTGGTCTTAATTAGCCTACAACCTAAAGTGTAAAAAGTGTTTCTGTGTCTTGCCTTTTGGAGAATGATCATCTTTTTCCATTAATTGAGATGTGCTGCTGTGTGGTCTCAGCGTAGTAACAAGTATAGATCAGAATGAGAAAGCTGGATAGCTTTCTGATTCTTCAGTAATTTTAGAATGTACAAATTTCTCAAGATCCTCAACTACTTCCATATACAAGGATAGAAACCACATAACAAAGGCAGTAAAATTTTTCTTTTTCTCCTTCTCTCTCTGTTATCTACCTTTCAAATAAATAATTAAAATTATTTTAAAAATTATTTAAAAATTATAAAAAAAAAAGTGGAGCCAATGCTGTGGCTTAGGGGGTTAAGCTGCCGCCTTCAGTGCCAGCATCCCATATGGATGCCAGTTTGAGTCCCAGTTGTTCCACTTCAGACTCAGCTCCTTGCTAACACTCCTGGGACAAGCAGCAGAAAAACGGCTCAAGTGCTTGGGCTTCTGCATGTGGGAGACCTGAAAGAGGCTCCTGGCTCCTGGCTTCAACCTGACTCAGCCCCGGCTGTTGCAGCCATTTGGAGAATGAACCAGCAGGAAAATCTCTCTTTCCCTCTCTCCTTCTCCCCCTCTCTTCTTCTCTTTCTCTCTCTCTCACCCCTTCCCCTCTTCTCTCTCCGTATCTCTGCCATTCAGATAAATAAATAAATCTTTATTTAAAAATATTTTTTGTTTTATTCACACTGGAGTATCTCATAATTTATGTGGGTAATTGCATTGTTGGGTATCTAATAATTCATGTGGATAATTGAATTGTTAGTAAGATCAGTGAAAGATCACTTTGGAATACAAACCAATAATCATGTGATTTTTCACTGGAGGCTGAAGTGAGCTAAGATCCATGTGAATAATTTTTTGAAATTATAGCTTTGTTAAGAGGTGATTCACACACCGTCTAGCTCATTCCTTTAAAGTGTGCAATTTAGTGCTTCTTACATATTCATAGTATATTGCTTTTTATATATTCATAGAATATTTTCTTTTTAAATTTTTATTTATTTATTTATTTTTATTTTTTGACAGGCAGAGTGGACAGTGAGAGAGAGAGAGAGACAGAGAGAAAGGTCTTCCTTTGCTGTTGGTTCACCCTCCAATGGCCGCCGCGGCTGGCGCGGTGTGGCCGGCGCACCGCGCTGATCCGATGGCAGGAGCCAGGTACTTATCCTGGTCTCCCATGGGCTGCAGGGCCCAAGCACTTGGGCCATCCTCCACTGCCCTCCCTGGCCACAGCAGAGAGCTGGCCTGGAAGAGGGGCAACTGGGACAGAATCCGGTGCCCCGACCGGGACTAGAACCCGGTGTGCCGGCGCCGCAAGGCGGAGGATTAGCCTAGTGAGCCGCGGCGCCGGCCCAATATTTTCATTATCCCCCCAAAAAATCCCATACCCATTAATAGTTCCCCCAGTTCCCCAGGCCTAGACAGCCACCAGTCTACTTTCTGCATTTAGACTATATTGTTAAAAGAATTGTTTTTTCAATTATAATTTAGAGCAAATTTGGACATTTTTTTTTCTTATTCTGGTATGACTATTGTAAAGCTTAGTCTTTGTTCACTTGCTAATATATTAATCTGTTTTCAGGTTAATATGCTTTTCATTTTTCAAGATCTCATTTAGTACTAGAAGAGATTAATTCCTAAATAGCATCTTAATGTCATTTTAAGGATGATCCAAGAACCTCTGTCTCTGTCTCCTCAATTTTAGGAACTATTCCTTTTCATCCTTAATTCATTCTTGAGGCATAGGAGACTAGGAACTTCATATACTGAACCTAAAAAATGAGCAAAAATATTATATAATTGTAAAAGCTTTTGTTTTACTAACTAAGATAAATTTTAAGTGTCATTGAAAAATAATGAAATTGGAGCTGGCGCTGTGACATAGCGGTTAAGCCTTGGCCCGCAGTGCCGGTGTCCCATTTGGGTGCTGGTTCAAGTCCTGGCTGCTTGACTTCCAGGCCAGCTCCCTGTGAATGTGCTTGGGAAAGCAGCAGAAGATGGCTCAAGTGCTTGAGCTCCTGCACTTATGTGAGAGACCTTGATGAAGCTCCTGGCTCCTGGCTTCTGGCTTTGGCCAGGCCCAACCCTAGTAGTTGTGGCCATTTGAGGAGTGAACCAGCAGATAGAAGATATCTTTCTGTCTCTCCTTCTCTCTCTCTGTAAGTCTGCCTTTCAAATAAATAAATTTAAAAATAATGAAATCATTTTGAGTTGTATCTGGTGGTGGTCTGATTATACCTAGGTTAATTTTCTTGCTCGTGTTATTTACGTTATTTGGGAAAATTTTTATGATAAGTTTTCATTGCTCAAATATTCATTTTCATATTTGAAATTCAGAGCTACTTTAATAGCTTCTTAGAGTTTTTATTGAAAAAATGTATTTCTTTATGGAGCTGTTTAGACATATATATAGAGAGAGAGAGAGAGAGAGACATCTTTAAGATAATTTCAAGAGAGTGTGTGATTAGCCACTATGTCTATATGGTTTAAAATATTTAATTTGGGGTTAAACTTGTGATTATAAAGAAAATTGTAAGTATATCATTATAAAAATTAAAAGGAAAATAAGAAGGGGGGTGAGACTGAGGGAGGGAGGGGAAGGGTAGTATGTATCATGTTCTTCACACTGTATGTGAAATACATGAAATTTGTTCCTTTTATGTAAATTTTAAAAAGTAAAGAAAAACACCTTAATTTTAATTAATCTCTTTTCAGATTCTCTGCAATGACTGTAATGGACGATCCACAGTCCAGTTCCATATTTTAGGCATGAAATGTAAGATTTGTGACTCCTACAATACTGCTCAAGCTGGAGGACGTAGAATTTCACTGGATCACCAGTGACCCATTTACGCTTCACTGCCAAACCCAACATTTTCTGATACACAAGTGGCATTCGTTAGCATTCTGTTGTCATCATGTATCATAATCTATGCATTAGAGTTGATGTGCTTTGTACCAGAGTCACAGCATACAATCAATCATATTACAAGTACTTTAAAGAATTCAGGGTCTCTATAGAGTTATCATAGCTATGTCTTGGATAAAGGCCTTGTCCTTGTGTTTTGATTGGAAAATCTTTTAATGTCAGTTGTGGAAATCAATGTTTGCCACTGCTAATCACATTCATAGAAATATGTACTATTTTAATGGGATTTTAAGTGGTACTATGTGCACAAAGTTCATTTCTAGTTGTTTCTAGAACTGCACTTAATTTTCAGTAGTATTCTTGACTTTAGAGGCTATGTTATAATAAATTCTACCTTATTAAAATCTTAATTATATATGTTTTAAAATTTTCTAAGACAGTCCTTTGGAGTCTATAAATGAATTTTGATGTAATAACTGCTAATAAAATTATATTAAACATTTATAGAAAGCTTTTTTCCAAGGTTGTCTATTTTTGGCTCAGAGTAATATAGTCAGCTTTATAATGTGAATTTCTCCATTCTTTCTCTCTTTGGTATTCTTTGGTAAGACTAGTTGGGGAAAATGTTATATAAAATAATAAGGATTCTTCCAGAGCTTTTAGAAAAATATCAACATTGAAAATAATTTTAAGTCATCCTAAATTATTTCTTTAAGGAATGATTCATGCAGCCAGTGTTTCTTGAGCAGCTACTGTGTGCCAAAGTTCTAGGTGGTGTTGAGACAACAGTGAGTAGTAAAGCTGAAAGTCCCTGCCTTGTGGCACTAGATTCCAGTGTTCTGTGTGTTTGGTCAGCGTTCTACTTGTTTTTCCTCATGTAAGCAGTGATGTGTTCATTGTGAATGAATGGACTGTTTCTTCCCTAACTGTTTGAATGAAGGGGGTAGATGAGTGGGAGGGGCATGGGCTATTCCTGGCAAGAGCTCTTCTTCACAGTACATTTTGGGCTCATGTAAATAAATATTAAATATTCTAATTTAATAATAAGTATTAAATACTCTTTCTTAATTCAGGAACGAAGTTAGCAAATATGCTTGATGTTCCAGCCAATTTCACGGTAATATTTCAACATTCAGCTAAACATTAGGTTAGGAAGTTACTTATTAATTGACTAGTGCTTATTAAGCTGTGTTTATATTTCCAACTTTGAGCTAGTTGAATAAAGAAGACAGTTGTATAAACTAGAAATCCTAACAGTGCTGATACATTTAATTCTTCTTTTGTTGGAGATCTTTACCAGAGCAATAGTACCAACATTGACTCAGATCTTAATTCTCTCCTACCTGTCTGTCTTCTGTTACTATGTTCTCTCCTTTTAGTGTTTCCTTGGCCTGGGCAAAGCAGCAGTGCTGATATTTCAAAAAATTTATTTTTGGACAGTTAGCTTAGGGTTAAGATGCTGATTCTGGCTCCACTCCCAATTTCAGCTTTGTGCTAATGCTCACCCTGGGAGGTAGCAGATGATGAAGTGGTTTAGTCCCTGCCACCTGTGTAGGGGAGAGCTTGACTGAGTTTCTGGCTCCCAGCTTCAGCTTGGCCCTGTACCCCAGTTGTTGTTGTCATTTGGGGAGTAAACCAGGGGAAGGGAGTTCTTTGTCTCTCAAATAAATAATAAAGTTTAAAAAAATTTAATTAAAAAATTGACACATAAAAATTGTACATATTTACGGGGTGCCATGTGTACCAAGGTGGCCTTAAAGATTGTCTATTATACGTCAGTTCTTAAAATCTTTTGGCAGGTCTCATTCACAATCAGAATAAAATCTAAATCCACTAGTATTTGTGTGCAGTACTTAAAATATATAATTTTTTTTTTTTTTAAGATTTACTTATTTAAAAGGCAGAGTTAACAGAGAGGCAGAGGCAAAGAGAAAGTCTTCCATCCGCTAGTTCACTCCCCAAATGCCAACAACAGCTGCAGCTGGGCCGACCCTAAGCCATGAGCCAGGAGCTTTTTCCGGGTCTGCCACGTGGGTGCAGGGTCCCAGGGACTTGGGCCATTTTCCATTGCTTTCCCAGGCCATAGCAGAGAGCTGGATTGGAAGTGGAGCAGCCAGGACTTGAACCAGTGTCTATATGGGATTCCAGCACCTCAGGCAGCAGCTCTATCTGCTATACCACAGCACTGGCCCCTAAGATATATAATCTTAAAACTTGGTTTTTCTGATTTCAAAAATATCTCTATTAAAGGAAAGAGGTTAGGAAAGAAGGTTAAAAAAAAAAAAATCTTCCAGAGAAAACTATGAACAGTTTAGCTGATAACATCACTGTTTTTTTTTCCCTGTTTATAGAAATTTAAAGAACTTAAAGGAATGTTAAACACTTACCCTAATCTTTAGTACAGTAGACTTGTCTGTTCTTGAAATAGGGTAAAATTGTGGTTGCTAAGTCGGGTTGCCCTGCCCCAGTATTTGAAACTGTAGTTCTATTATTTTTAAAAGCCAGGAACAAATACGTTTATGAATTACTAGAGGATAGCAGCTCATTGGCTTCTTTTATCATTAAAAAAGTTTATATCAAGTTGTTCAATTTTTAAAAAATCCTTTTAGTCTTAACCAGCACATGGAGCTCAGTTTGATACTAACTTTGGCTTATTTTTGAAGTACTAAAATAATTGCAGTGTCTCAGGTTTTAAAATCAAACTCAGTGTTTATTCTTGCACCAAAACCTATCTTCATATTGTATACATGTTTAAGTTTCTTATCTTTGAATTAAAACTATTTTTTTAAATACTGATTTTAATTCTATTGGGTGTATACCCAGAAGTGAGGTTGCTGAATTATATGGTAATTCTTAGCTTTCTGAAGAACCTCCATACTGTTTTCCATAATGATGGTATTACCTTATCCCATCTGCAGTGCAGCGTTCCCTTTTCTCCACATCCTTGCCAGCACTTAATCTTTCTTCTTCTTCTTCTTCTTCTTTTTTTTTTTCTGTTAAAATTTATTTATTTGAAAGAGTTACAGAGAGAGATAGAGTTGGGGGGAGAGAGAGAGAGAGAGAGTTCTTCCATCTGCTGGTTTACTCCCCAAATAATCACAATGGCCAGGGCTGGCTGAAACCAGGAGTCTGGAACTCCACCTGCATCTTTCACATAGTGACAGGCGCCCAAGCACTTGGCCCATCTGCTGCTGCCTTCCCAGGTGCACCAGCTGGGAGCTGGATCAGAAGTGGAGCAGCCATGACTTGAACCAGGTTCCCATATGGGATGTTGGTAGTCAGCAGTAGTGGCTTAACTTGCTGTGGCACAACACTCGCCCCCATCTTTCATCTTTTGATAATAGCCAATCTCTAACAGGTGTGAGATAAGATCTTGTTTTAATTTGCATTTTCCTGATAATTAATAACATTGAGCATTTTTGATACATCTTTTGGCCATTTCTGTATCCTCTCTTGAGAAAGATGTAGATTTAGAAAGGTTTATATCTTTACCCATTTTCTAATATGGTTCTTGCTATTGAGTTGTTTGAGTTCCTTATATATTTTTTGTTTGTTTTTGTTTTTTCCTTATATATTTTCAATATCAGCCCTTTATGAAGTATATTGTTTGCAGATATTTTTTCTCCCAACTGCGGCTTATCTCTTCAGTCTTAATTGTTGCCTTTGCTCTGCGGAAACTTTGCAGTTTGATGTGATCCCATTCATTTATTTTTGATTGCCAGCGCACGAGCTGCCATATGCAAGAAATCTGCTGAGACTTACATGGTGGAGCATTTCCCCTGTGATTTCTTCTGGAAGTTTTAGAGTTTGAAGTCTTATATTTAAGTTTCCTGTCCACGTTGATTTTTATATAGGTTTGAGATAAGACTCCAGTTTCATTCTTTTGCATTTGAGTATCTAATTTTCTCAGCAGCGTTATTGATGAGACTATTCCTTCCCCATTGTGTATTCTTGGCAATCTTTTTTTGAAATTGGGGTCGGCGTTGTACACTGGGTTAAGCTGCCCCTTGCATTCCCAGCATTGTATATTGGAGCACCAGTTCTGATGCAGCTGTCTGCAAATGCACCTGAAAAGGCAGCAGAATATGGTCCAAGTACTTTGGTCCCTGCCACCCATGTGGAACACCAGCATGGAGTTCCTGGCTCCTGGCTTCCACCTGGTCCAGACCTGGTTTTTGGGACCATTTGGTGATTGACCAGGATAGGACCAGGGACTGGAAGATTTTTCTGTTTTTTTCTCTCTCTATAGTTCTGCCTTTCAAGTAAATATTTTTTTTAAAAAAGATTTATTTATTTGAAAGAGTTACACAGAGAGAGAAGGAGAGGCAGAGAGAGGTCTTCCGTCTGCTGATTCACTCCCCAGTTGGATGAAATGGCTAGAGCTGGACCAATCAGGAGCCAGGAGCTTCTTCTGGGTCTCCTACATGGGTACAGAGGCCCAAGGACTCGGGGCATCTTGTACTGCTTTCCCAGGCCAGGGAGAGAGCTGGATCAGAAGTGGAGCATCCGGGACTCGACCAGCACCCATATGGGATGCTGGCTTTACCCACTATGCCACAGCACTGGCCCCAATAAATAAATCTTTAAAAAGTAAATTAATTGACTACAGGTGTGTGGAATCATCTCCTGGTTCACTTTACAATTCCATTGATCAAGATGTCTGTTTTTATGCCAGTACCATTTTGAGTATTAGCGCTTTGTAATAGATTTTGGGTCATGTAGTGTGGTACCTCCTAGCTTCGTTCATTTTTCTCAATGTTGTGTTGATGATTCTGGATCTTTTATATTTCCATAAGAATTTTAGGATTGTCTTTTATAGTTCTATGTCTTTGGTCTTTAATATGGACCACATTGAAATTGTAGATTGCTTTGGGTAGTATGGAAATTTTAACAGCTTTCTTAGAATTTATAAACATGAGATATTTTCCTATCTATTTGTGTTGACCGTTTCATTCATCATTATACAGATCTTTCACCTCTTGTTAATTGTACAACTAATATATTTTTTGATGCTATTGTGAATGGGATTGATTTAATATTTTTTCCTGATGGTTCTTAATGTAATGAAATGCTACAGAAAAAAATTTTTTTTTGGTGTAAAGTTTGTATCCTGCAACTTTACTGAATTCATTTGTCAGTTCTATTGGTGCTACTTTAGGGTTTTCTAAATATGAGTTTGCAATACGTCATTAGCATAAAGGGACAGTTGCACTTCTTCATTCCTATTTGGATACCATTTATTTATTTTTCTTCTCTAGTTGCTTTGGCTAGAACTTCTATATTGTGTTGAATAGAAGTGGTGAGAATGGGCATTGTTATCTTGTTCCTGATCTTTGAGGAAAAGCTTTCAACTTTTTATCATTGAATATAATGTTAACTGTGGGCTGTTCATCTATGAGGTACATTCCTTCTATGCCCAATTTGTGGAGTTTTTTTTTTTTTTTTTAAATCATGATTGGATGTTGATTTTGTCAATTTTTTTTTTCAGTTTTATAAAGTCTGTTCTTATTTATT